GCTTGAAGGATGGTACCATAGAGTGAGATTGAGAAGAAGAATGGATTATATGATCACAGATATATAGATAACACTGGCTAAATATTGTCCCTTCTCCAGACACAAAACAAATATATCAGATAGTGTCTGATAGTGTTACTGAGCTTTTTGATAATAAGGCTCTGGAAACAATTCTTGTGAAGTGAAATTATACAGACCAACTGGACTACAAAATATGAAGCTTGAGCATTTGTGTGGCCTTTGTTATGTCTGGAAAAATATTTCAGAGGCTCAATCTAATATGTTTTCTTGGCAGAGTCTTTTCTTCAAGGCCTAATTCTCCATTGCTTTGCATTCCTGATAATGATTCATACCTACATAAAGTAGGTATAAATTACCTTCGTACTGTAACACAGTGAAGAACTGGGATCACAAATTCCTCATCATAGGAGGGATTTTTCTCTTTTGAATCCATTTAATATTGTTACCAAATACTTGCAGTTTGGTAAAGAACTGCATCTGTTTTACTTGTACCTTGGCCAGGCATCCATGCTGTCTGTCTTTGAAACACTGAGACTGAATTCCTGCAATGCAGCATATATGCTTAGCTGCCCAGGAACTTCTTGTGGCCAGTGCTGAATGCCATGATTTATTATCATGGCAAGTAGTGCAGCTGTAACCAGCAGCTTAATATGAAGCATAGAGTAGGACCCAGATGACCATGATTAACCTCAAGAAGTCTCCCGAGGGCCACTGAGGCAATCTGATTTGGGAATCTCTGTCCACTGACTGAATAGCAAATGCCCACACCTTCCTGCACAAGGGCTTGAACCACCTTGGTGCTCTTTAAAGGCTGGCTGTGGCCATGCAGTCTGATGGAGCTAATAACCGGTCCCACCACAACTAACCTCTCGGGCTTCTCCAGGGATTGAGATGGCTCCACCTCTCAAGTTGGATCACTAATCAGTTTGAGTGAAAAAGTATTAATCTCCCCAAATCACTGTGTTTCTGAACCTGCACATCTGAGAAAAAAATGAGGCCACAAGGTATTCAGCAGTTTCTCAGAGAAGGGTGACTTGTCCACTGGGCAGTGCAGGAAAATAGAGACTTGCATGGTGTTTAGGTGCCCACATCCCATGTAGCCAGGCTGATGGGAGATTCTAATCAGAAACTTCAGGTGGTATGTTGTTTATTAAGTGACCTTATTACTGAACTTTTGGCAACTTTATAAGGTATTTACCCTCTCTATGAAGTCAGAGAGTGCATGTTCTGATCAAGAGCTTTAAAGAAAAGTGGTGCTTACCCAAATTGTTGTTTAATTGCTTAAAATAAAAATATCATTTACTAATGTAGTAATTAATTCCGGGGCATAAGCCAGTAGCAAAATATGCATGAATGTTATGTGCCACAGTCATTAAAATGTAAATAGGTCTTTTACTTTGACTGCATGATCTTGCTTACATACTTTAGAAAGAACAGTCCAAAATGGAAGTCACTGATTTAAAATAACTGTTGTTTTTTAATAAGAATGCATGAAGAAACGCATAACTGTTTTCACCCTGGTCACTATAATATAATGATTATCCTTATAAGAATATGCTACATTTAAAAATGGAAAAGGTAAAAGGGAGACAGGAGACTTCAACAGTATCAGCATAAATGGGAAAATATTGTAATGTTAAATTTTTCTAGTATATTGGCTACCATTAGAGCAGCAAACATAGATTTCCAGATGTTTGTGAAGAGTCCAACAGTTATATTTTATATCTATAGCTGTAGTAACAATTTCTATTCAGCAGCCTAGAAAAACATTTCATGTCACAACAGGAAAGAAATATTACTGTGGGGTTTTTTTCTCCCTCATCCCCTATATAGCAATTCTAAATACTTCAGTCAATGCCAAACAAAAATCATGGTTTAAAAATTAAAACCACAGTCACTAGGGGCAGGACATAAATGTGCAGATGTTTTGTGATGTTGAAGAACTTTTCAGGCAACAGTCACAATGCTGTTGTGGAGAGCACTGGAAATCCATCAGAGTTGGACACTGTCAAAAGCATTCCCTAAGCTACACTGTCAGAAAAGGCAGTTACCTTTTCATATTCCCTTAAGAAAAAAAGTAAGAAAAAAAATCAAAACTAGAAAACCTACTCACAATGGCCTTTATATAGCTCACTATTTTTTTAGCAAGGGATTGACTGTAATCTGTTAAAATAAGTGAACAACTTATATCTAGAGTTTACTGGGCAACCTGTACAGGTGGAAAACTTCATTGTCCCAAAGCAGTGCACAAAACATTAATTTTCCTTCTCCAGGAAGGAAAAATTTTTACAAGCTTATAAGCTGTTTCTGTTTCAGGCACCTCTGTGCCTTAATGCTGTTATACAAATGGCTGCCTGAAAATCTTTATTTACCACATCTACCTGCCTAGACAAAGAGACATCATGAATAACAACAAAAATAGCAGAGGGGAAGTTTTTAAAGGCACTCACTGTAACTGGTACATTTAATGCCTGTGCGTGATGACAGACCTCTTGCCTCCCAAGTGTTGGCAGGCACTTCTGTGAACATGCATGTAGCACCAAGCTGTCCTGCCAGAACATGAACTTCTGCAGTTGCCTCTCTCTAACACCTGATGGTTACAAGGAAGGAAATAAAGGTCAAAAATATAAATGAATGTCAGCTGCTCCCTCTCCTGTTTATTTTACTTGCTTTAATTAGTAAGATGAGATTACAGGTGAGGTTTTCTGCACTGCCTATCCCCACTGTGCCTCAAAGGGTGCCGAAAGCTCTCCAACAGCAGCAAGATTCCATAAGCAACCAGAAACTCTCTGGAGCAAAGCAAGCCATGGGCATCTGTGCAGCTTCCTAGCAAAAGTGAAGGGGGATGCTATAAGTAAAGGCGATGTGGTGGGAATAAAGGCTTGTGCAAGACAGGTGGTCCCATGGGGAAAGATTGTTATATGTTAGGGGAGGCAGGGATAAGGCCGGGAAGTGTGCGGCCATGGGTAATCGCAGAGTTGAAACTGCATCTCTGATGGCCTGGCCTCTTTTCAAAGCTCCAGAAATTGCCTGTCATATGTGGCTCGTGTCAGGTGTCAGGTACTATTTTCCAGAATGAAATGCACCATTAGCAGGTAAAGACAATTCACCAGGTACAACATAGCAGAACTGTAATTATTTATTAGATATTATTTCTCACAAAATGCATCTCCAGGATCACATTGCATTAGCCACAATATTGGACTGATGGAGCATAAACAAGGGTAATGATAAACACTGGTGAATGGAGTTGGGAAGAGATGGTTATTAGGGTACCGGTGTGTTTCATGTGGGGTTTATTTAACAGTCTCATTAATGATCTGGAAAAAGAAGTGAATAACCATTTAATTAACTTTGCATTTGATACTAAATTAGAGGTTGCTGCAGACACCTCCGAGGGCAGGGAAATAAATCAAAAAGAGCTAGAAGCATGTGCAGTAAAGAAGAAAATGAGATCTGGTATGAAGAAAAAGAGCAAGCTAATCTCTCTGGAAGCAAATAATCTAAAATGTAGCTATCTGTGGAGGAATTCTGGAGAAAGCAGTGTTGAAAGAGATGTAGGAGTGTTAATGGACTATATATTCCATCACAGCTCGAGTATATGTTTACAGAAGCAACGCATCAAGAAGCAGGAAGGTAATAGCCCTTCATTGTAGGGCTCTAGTGAGAACCATCTATAATGCTGCACTCTGTTTTGGGCATCCTGTTATCAGAGAGATATAGACAAATTGGAATGAGTTCAGAAAAGAGCCATAAAAATGATCCCATATCCCTGGAGATAATGACTTATGAAGAAAGATCAGAAGAAGTAAATGTGTAAGGCCTTGTCTGAAAGATGACTGAAGTAGGGCAGGAAAACAGTCTGCAAATATGTGAAAGCGAAAAGGGAGGAGGATAATTTATCATAGTAACTATTAGTAATAGGATGAAATAATAAGTAACGGCAATAAATTTAAAAAGGGCAACTTCAGGTTGAATGTAGGGAGAAATTTCTGACAGTGGAATTTGGGTTAGTTTGCAGAGAAGTTTCCCAGGGGTAAAAGTAAAAGCTGCATTCAAGTCATTTAAAATCAAATTGGACAACTCACTAGAAAATGCACCCTGCTATAGGGAACAATCTTCCATTGCCTGGGGAATAAGCTGGATGACTTAATAGGACATTTCACACTCAGATCTTTATGACTGTGATATTTTTAATATGCATGGTCAACTATTTCAGGAAAGTATACATTTCTTTTGCTGTCAGGCCTGATGATACAAACACTTGCATGCAAACATAACTTTTAAGAAGGCAAGTAGCTCTGCTGACAGCACAGCACTGCTGACGTGCACAAACACAAGCCTGAGCTCTTCAAGTTTTTGCAGGATCAGTCTTAGATCTTGCAGTTGTCAATATCAAGATGGTATATACAGGTAACCACATCATTTACGGGTAGGTGAAGAAGTGTGCAGAACAAAAGATGGGGGTTGGAAGCTCCAGTGAGGATGTATTATTATTGTTATTATTATCGTTATTGCTCTTAGTATTTATAAATGACTGGTAGTGTAGAGTTCAACTCCATTTCTTAACTGTTCACCTTTTTCATCCTCTGCTTTCACCTCTGTGCAGTGTGTTCATTAGACAGTGCAAGACTGATTTCTATACTGTTTTTTAACATTTGATATTTTTAATATATCCTAAAATGTCTGTTGAATGAGAAAAGAGACAAGCTGAAGTGAAAACTTGACCATCCCTCAAATGAAGAAGAGATGTCAAAAGGCTACGAATTTAAATGGATATGAGGGTAATCCCATCTTTTCCCCTCAATTGTAATAATGTAGTGTTGGACTCACTTCACCATCCGTTAGCAGCAGACAAGCTCACAGGCATTCAGATAGGTATGCTCCCTAAAACATGGGGTTTATATGTGGATTTTTTATGGTTTTGTTTTCTTCTCTTCCCTCCCTGCTCCCTGATGGGCTCTGTGTGGGGCTTGCAGCCTGGTGGTGCCGCAGTCGAACACCCGAGCCTCAGGAGTCTCCAGCAAAGGGTCGAGCAGCAGCAGTTCCAGTGAATCCGAGACCAGCTCAGAGTCTGACTCAGAGAGTGAAAGCAGCTCCAGCGAGAGTGACGGCAGCAAGCCCTCACATTACTCCAGCCCAGAGGTAAGGGATTCTGCTCTTTGTGATTTAGGGGGGCAATCTGTTATTACACCCACTCAGACCTTTTTCCAGCCAAGCCAACACAAGGAGGCTGTGGGAAAAAAAAAAAAAAAAAAAAAAAAAGGAGGAGAAAGGCCCAGTGATCCTCCTCCTGCCATGCTGTGAAATGCAAGGGGCAGGGGATCCTGGGGCAGATTAAAGAATTTGAAACAAAAATGAAGAAAGAAATAACCCTGTGATATTTTTCTCGAATTGGAGATGAGTGGAGTGCCTTGCAAGGCTCACAGCTTGCTTGAAGTTTTATGCAACTCTGCCTCCATAGCAATGGCTTTCTTAGTGCGTAAGTCCTAATGTGGGCTCCCAGCACTGCAAGGGAACTAAAGGCTTCTCTACACAGGGAAGCTATTACAAAATCAGTTTGAGGGTGGATTTTTAAAGTAAGGCAGTTGTTTTTCACTCATGCACTTCCCTCACCTCACTCTCTAAGTGAATTATTCTCTGCTACTGCTGCCTTTGTGTGATTTATTTTAATCCACCTCCAAAATGGACTCAACTAATTACTCATGGTGCAAAACATTAAGCCCTAGCTTGTCATCTGGATAGCTAGTACTGAAAATTTCCACATGTAGACAAGCCTTAGCCAAATCACAATTAAACTGCCAGTGCTATGCCACCTTCTGTTTTCACCTCTGCAGAGTGCTCAACAGACATGATTTCTCTGCTCTGCTTTTCTACCAGGATTGACATTTTCACATGTTTTGGACAATACACACCTTTAGCACAAAATCATGAACTCCACAGCCACATCACACACATTAATGTATGTTAAAATATTCAAAGATTGTAAATAGATGTTAAATACAGCCAATGTATTTTCTATTCCACATAAAGCATCCAATCACCACACTCCTCTCTCCAAAACTATGCCTCACCTATTCTCCCACCCTGAAAAATTATACTGAATAACCAGCAAGCCTTTCCTCAACTTTTGCTCAGTTATTTGGGGCCATGTTTCCTATCAGGCATAATGCAGGACTCACAGAAACATCCTTAATATATTTTTCTCAGGTTCTGTCACTTTTGTTCCTTATTTAACACTTATTTTCCTTTCTGTCTTTCCTTCGCAGTACTTTCAGATCCATTTCCAATTAATTTTCCTCTCACTTTGTCCCTTTCCTAAATCTCTCTCTATGGCTCTTTCCTTTTGTCTCTATTCACTTGCTATCAGTCTCTCTTCCCTGTTGTCCTCCCTGCGCTACCCCACATCTTGTTTCCCATTCTGAGCATTCTCATCTGACCCATTAAGACCTTGTTCTCTCTCTGCCTAGTTCCCTGCTGGAATTAGTGCAGAGATCTCACGCTTGGTCTCTCCTCTCCCTGAGGGATCTCAGAAGGTGGAAGAAAAGGGATAAAGAGAAGAAAGAGAAGGAACCATTGGAGGGGGAGGAAATATGAGGTGAAAGGAGGAGAAGCATAGTACCAAGGAAGAAAGGAGTGTGTACTATCTAGGCAGATGCCCATAATGCTTGAACTTGAGAGCAGCAATTCCACAGGGAAAAGGGGGAAGTTAATTAATTGAGGCAGGTCATGGATTTCATAAAGTCAATCAGGGGACTGAAAGTCATGGAAATGTGGAGGAAGTGCCTCCTCCTAAGCATTTTATACATATCCTCTCGAGATCTGTGGAACTGCTTCTGTACAGAGCCCAAGTTATCAGTGATTGTTGTCACGAAACAGGTGCACTGCTCCAATGGATTGTCTGTCTTCTTGCATTATATTTATGTGGTTTGCCTTCTAGGACATGCTGTATGAAACATGCTTATATGAAAGTGTAAATGACTCAAAAAATGCAACGGCTGCAGTGGTTTTCATAGGTCGTGCCTTGATGGGATATGGAAGAGGCCATACATGGATAGGGTCAGGATGTCCCAGGGAGGTAGAATACCTGTGCTTTTCTCAAGAGCCAGTGCTTTCCCAGGCACATCGTATGACTGATGGCAGCGGCTCAAAACATGCTTATGTGATGTCTCTGACTGGAAGTCCTGTCTGCTTTGCATTAAATGCTTAAGCTTACACTTATGCACCCCGTGAAGCCATCTTTCTAAAGTATATACCATGTTCTTACCCAGTAAATGAAGAGAGACAGGTTCTTGGAAGTTCTTTAAAGGGAGGCCCTGTCCACCTAAATTTAAGCAGTGGACTCAATTCCAGTCCTAGTCTTAAAATTAATTTCATTTATTGGATAAGACAGAAAAAGCAAATACATCTTTGCTTTTGCTTTAACATTAACTGATAAATTCATGTACAGTGAACTTGAGTGCTCTAGCACATGCTGGGCAGGAAATCCATCTTTCCATGTTGGGACAAACTTAATCTGGAAATCTGCAGACCATTATGAGGCCTTCATTCTGGTTTGGGTTTTTTTTTCCATAATCTGAAATATTATATGCATATACTCAAAAAATTTTATTTTTAGGACAGTGTGTCTTCTGCATTTGAAGTTATATAGAAATTCAATTGCTGTTTTATTTCTTCTGCATTTTTTTCCTCATCTTATTTTGAGATCTTTGAGCTGTTCTCAGGTGTCTAAATGCAGTTGCCTAGAGTGTATAGGCAACTCATTGTAAAGCATACATATAAAATAGATTAGATGAATTGCACCCTAAAAGTGTCTGTTTCTTTCCATTGACTATTTAGAGCTTGTAGTGACTACAGGCTTAGCTGTCTACACTTTATGTCTGCAGTAAACTAAGAATAATGGCTGAGCTAGAACAGGAGACAACATTCAGACTGGTTTCAGTGATGTGGACAAATTAAGGTGCCTCAGACATTAATGTGAGTAGTTACAGTTTTGTAGACTGCCAAACCTGTAATTATGAACAAGGGAATGAGGCTTCTATCTCCTGTTTCTTTGCTGAAGTCATGAATTCTTCGCATGACCTGATTAACGTCATAAATGAGGACTCTGGGAAAACAACGACGTCTTGTCCTTGCAATTATTTCAGATGGTAGAAAAAAACTGGGGGTGTCAAGTCCATAGAAAGAGCTACATTTCAAAAGCTAAGAAATAGGTTTGTTTGTTCTTCATTCCACTGAATTATCCTACAGACTTTTAATAAGACTGAATCTAGTTAGACAACCAGGAATTCCCACTATGCAGGGAGGACAAGAGGGCGGAATGGGCAGAAAGGAAGCAGAGAACCCATTGCATGGGACAAAGCATCAGTGACCAGTCAACAGTAACCAGGCCAGAAGAGTGAGGTGTCCTGTCCTGGGCTCTGCCAGCCCCGCACACCAGATGCAATGTCCTTTATGGGCTCTGCTCTTGTGACTAGTTCACAACCATTAAAGTTGTTTCCCCTTTTTCAAGGATTCACATATACTTTTTGTCCATGCTTATTCCATCATCACAAGTTATACTCTTTAATCTCAAGTCCCCACACTGTGACTGACCAGGTCAGAGCTGAAGTGGTTTGTAGCTCTTCCCCACCCTGCTGTCTCATCAGCAGAGAGCCACCTCCTGACCACTGTGCATCAAGTCCTTCAAGTGCCTGGACACTTGAAGTGGCTGAGGAGCCAATGCCTGTGAATCACTGCTATTCCCTCAGGTACTGTGTGGCACTGACTCTCTTCAGCTCAAAAAATAGGAAAAATGTGTGTGTCTAACAGACTAGCTAACTGGTGAGCATGCTCCTGACACCTCACCAGCCTTTCTTCACTGATAGATTTCATTAGGGAGGCAGGGGCAGAAGAGTTATAGTTTTAGGGTTGCAGCATAGGAGGGGTATGTTTTCTGTATCTGTCTTGTTTGCCAAAAAGTTTTTGCTTCCTGTCTTAAGTATAGCCATGATTCGATTTCCTGACTAGTACACTCAGAAGAAAAGGGGATTTTACCACTCGACCAACTGTAGAAACTATATCTTTGCAAATAGGATTCATGGGCTTTAGCTGTCTTGTGGGCTATTTTTGACAATGACTACAAACTAAACTCTCCTTTCCCTCCAGAAGACTCTTTGTGGCAGGAACTACCTCTTCCAAGGAGTCCTCAGTTCTAATTGGATAAAGCACTAGCAGCAGTGATAATAGTAGCAATAAAGTAGTAGTAGTAATAATCATAATTATCGTCATCATCATCTATGCTTTAAATATAATGACAAGGCGCCACATTTGTATGGGGATTGCCCTGAATAAAATCTTTGATAGCAGGGCAGCACAAGCAGGTTATCACAAGAGTAAATTAGTATGTGGAGTTACAATAGGCAGAGTATTCTGCAGGGATGGCAGATAGTTCAGTCCTACCCCACAGTGGGTTAAGTACATGCCCATATTACAGACTGTCTAATCTCTCAGTGACACTGGTGTCGTGCTTCAAGTTTACCATGGTATTAGCTACACCTTAGGTCCCTCTTTGTAATAACAAGCGTAGAGTGACCCCATTACACTTACGTTGTTTAACAGCCCTTTACCCCAGAAAGTGTTTCTGGGTAATGTTTTGACAAAGGTTTCATTTGGATGCATGCCACTCGTGCCTCTGGTTGCACTTGTTGCCTTGAAGAGATCTAAGATATATAGATGTGCTGTGTGGGAGTCATCCCACCTAAATTTGGATACTTCTACTACAGATACCTACATCTGCTCATCACCTCAGCCTCCCCTTTGCAGTCAGTGGAGAGGAATAGACATTTTTAGGGCCTGGCTCATCTGGTCTATTTAGATGTCTATTTCAAGAGGGAATTTTTCACACCCTAGAAGAGTAGTCCACTGACTGGAGAAGGAACTCCTTGACTAGCTCAGATATAAGTGTCTATGTTGTACAGATGAATCCACCCACAATTTTTAAAGAAGTGTATCACATCCTTCTGTTTCTTGATGAAGCCTGGCACATGTGTATGCCTGTGTTGCATTGGTCCCTGAAACTATCTTTGTCTCGTAAAGTTCCCTGGTTTGGGTTTTCCTGCCAAACCCATATTTCATTGCAAGTCAGCTTTATTACAGACATTCCTATTACTGCTGCCCATCTGGGCACCACCAGCTTTACCCCAGTTAAAAACTGCCTAGTTGTCTACAGAGCCTTGAGGGCAGCATGTTTCCATGACACAAAAAACAAGGGAAAGAGACCATTCCACTATCTAATCACTCTGTATATATATTCATCCCTATTTCCATCCTTATGTGCTGCTGAAAATTTCCCACTTTGAGCAAACTAACTTTTCTTCCATAGAGTGGTATGTGACATGCTCAGGGGGGTGATGTGGACTGGTGAATTAGGGATTTTCTTTTTCTCCCACAAATGCTGTTACACATGTAAAGTGGACTGGCGAAAACCTTCAAATCAATTTTCCCAATCCCTTTTTTCACCAGGCCTGCTCTTCATTCTTGGCTGTCACAATTTTGTTCTCTCGCAAGGTACCTTGGTTTTTAAAGTGATTTCAAAGTACAGTACTTTTCAGTTAGAGCAATCAATTGAATAAATTACTTCCAAAAGGAAATTGGCATCATTCATACACACTGACAATCTCAAGTATTCCAAAACTTTATCTGGGCCCAAAAATAGTGAGAAAGTTTTAAAATTCTGATTTTTAAAAAATTTTGATTCTTTTAATTTACCTGATGGGCTGCAGGCTTTTTACTTGTAGCACATACATCTTAAAGGGTTTTTTTAGCAGACACATCTTAAGGTTTTTTTCAGTAGCCACAAGGATTTGAATTTTTATTTAAATAAACTCCAGAAGTGCATCTAAGCCCATGGTTCTGAGAGTTGAGGCTTTAAGAAAAAATAACAAGTGTCCTGAAACTCTTGACAAAATTAGTAAAGCTGGCAACATTGTTGATCCTTTTTGTTAGACTTCATAGTTGTATTATAGGTTGATGGGACTGTAGTTATTCTGCCTAAGTAGCAGACATATCTCTCTAGGGAAGTAGGATTTTGCCAAGTTATGACACTGTATCAGTTAATCACTGCTTTCTACTTGTTTACTGTGATTCTTTGAAATCCATATTTTGTGAACCACTGTTTTCAAGAATTACAAGGTACATAAAGAGACAGAATGGGATGTAACAGAAAAGCTGGAAGTTTTTTTGAACTTTCAAGCTGCCCTCACTCTGACCTATACTTATGGGCAGAGGTATATTTTCCCCCACGTGCTTCTGATGTATGTCCTTTAAGAAAATAGAACTGAACAGTGGAAAGACTTCCATGTATAGTGAACCTTCTATTATATATCTAGTGAATCCAGTATGTGCACAATGAATGGCACCAAACAAATCTCTCTGTATTTTCAGCAACAATCAAAAAATACTGTTTATTTTAGATAAAGAGTTAAGAGTTGGAAAAATACGTCTTCATCCAAGAGAAATACTGCCCATCCATTTTCAAGATTTACAGCTCAGGAAAGAAATTCCTCATGTAAGATATTAGGGAGTACGCTTAAGAAAAAATAAACTTAAGGCAATCCAGCAAACTTCCCATAGGTATTGGCTGGCTTGATAATGAGTAAATTAGACGGTTTTGCGAGAAGGAATATTTGTATCATATGAATTCTGATGTCTGACTTTTTTGATTATTTTAGGAGCCTTTGCTCTATGTAGAGCGAATACAACCCTCAGTGGGTGATTCTAGAGATGTCTTTGGCTATGCAGGAAACCTGTGTTGGCCTCAGGCACCTACTTTAAATAAGGAGTTAAGTAAGAGACTCTTAAGTTAGACTGTGGATATTCTCTCTCGAGCAAACTTTCTTCCAGAGCATTGGTGGTTTTCATGTTAGACTCATGACACACTTTTTGATTATTCATATGCCTAGTGGATCAAATTTTGGTTCCAGTTACAGAAATCAGGAGATTTTCCACATTGGCTTCTATGGGGTTAGGTTATTGCTGGCCATCTACTCCATCATTTATTTCTTTTGGGGTTCTTTTGCCTTTCCTCTTCATTTTATTACATTCAAATTACTGATTGCAAGAAGCACTAGAAAACACTTGCACATTGTTCTGAAATAATATTGAGCTGTGGTTACATTTGAAATCATGATTATCCCACTTTTCCACTGTCCAAACACCATTATGCTTTAGATGCTCTCTTATAACTTGATCATGTTGTGACAGGAATGAAGAGAAAAACTAACAGCTGCACAATACTCATAAAATGAGCACTTGACAATACCACCACACAACAAATGTTTGTGGGATCTCACAAGATTGTATCGTCAATACCACACAGATTACATGAACTGCCTGGTTAGCCCTCCAACTCCCCACTACATGACTCTATGCTTTTTAATTACTTTTTTGTATTTAATGCACAAAATACATATCCCTAGTTTTCCTACTAGCTATCCTCCCTTAGTCTCAGCCATATCCCTGCCTTGTTTTCCTCCCTTCCTATTGCCATTATATTTTATTCTATTTGGAAACTTGAGAGCGTTTCCCGGTAAAGCTGATTTCAGTGGCACTATGCAAATCATCCTTAGAAATGGTGGATCACAGAAGCCATCCTCCTTCCCAACCTCATTCTGAAACGAAGAATATTCCCACTTGCACGGCATGCCCCACGTCTCCCGTCCCACCACGCAGGGCCAGTGCCAGGGGAGTGCTGCTGCTTGGGGGTAGCTTTTTGACCAGAGGAAAATCTCTGCAGTACCAGGAGGGACCCAGCATTTTGGTGTCCCTGAGGTAGCCCTGGTACAAGGGTAGCAGGGTCTCTGCACTAACCTCATTGCCTTCTGTTTCCCTTTCAGCCTGAGCCACCCTCATCCAACAAGTGGCAGCTGGATAAGTGGCTAAATAAAGTCACCCCGCACAAGGCACCCATCCTGACCCACCATGACGGCCCCGCACTGGAGACCCATCCCTACTATGGTCGTGTGAAGGCAGAGCGACAGGAAAGCGAGAAGACCCCGGCCACTGGCCCGGCTGAGCACCGCAGTGGGGAAGGCCGTGCCACCGCCAGCACCACTGTCGGGGACGGACCACGGCCCAGGACTGCCAACAAAGCTCCAGGCAGCAAGGGCAGCCGCCAAAAGTCACCCCCTGCTGCTGACGGCGGACCCCCAAGGCGGGCAGCAGGGAAGAAGGCACCGCGGCGGACTGAGAGGACCTCTGCCGGGGACGGCCCCCCCTGCCCTGGCACAGAGGAGCCCCCCGGGAGCCACAGTTTTCCAGAAAGCACTGCTGGCGAGGCACCGAGGGCCCGGCCTGGCAGCAGCGGCACCAGCGGTGGCTGCAGAGCGGGTCACCGCCGGGAGCCCCGCTCAACTGCAGCTGGCGAGAAGCGTCGGGCCCGGGGGCCAAGCAAAACGGCGCCCAAATCCAAGGAGTTCATCGAGACTGAGTCTTCATCCTCATCATCCTCCTCTGACTCGGGCTCTGAGTCAGAGCGGGAGGAGCGCCCGCTGCCCAAGGCGCCAGCAGCAGCTGGGGCCGAGCCACGTGCCAAGGACGCAGGGACCGGCGCCGCCAACAAACCCCACGGCGGCTGCAGTGCCTTTGGCTCCATTAATGCCAGGACTAGTAGTGAAATAGCAAAGGAGCTGGAGGAACAGTTTTACACCCTGGTTCCTTTCGGTAGGAATGAGCTCCTGTCTCCTCTGAAAGACAGTGATGAGGTAAAGTCGCTGTGGGTCAACATTGACTTGGCTCTTTTGTCCAGGATTCCAGAGCGTTTGCCTGAAGAGCCGCTGGCCATGAGCGCTGGAGCAAACCAGGTGGCCAGCCTCCCGCAGGGTAGTAGTGCTGACCCCCCCGCAGAGAAGGGTTTACCGAAATCTAGAAGGAAACGCAAGGTGAGCTTCTGGGGAGACTGATCGGGATGGGAAGGGGGGCCTCGGGCAAATGAGAGACAAGCATCTCTTGTGCCCATGTCCAGTGCTCAATGGCAGTGTCTTCTCTGGGATGGCACTTCAGAGCTGGGATCCGTCCCTGCTTGCCATGTAGGAACTGGCCAAGTCCCAGGGGATATGCCATCCCAGGAGGTGATGAAACTCCTGGCTGTGAGGCATCACAGCCCCTTGGAGATGGCATTCACTGTTGGCATGCAGCTTTCCATGTCTTAGCGAAGGCACTGCCTTTTTAGTAGGATAATTTTCTCTCCTGATGCTTCTCTCAAAACCTGAGCATTTGGAGGTGGTGCTTCTGTTGGTAAAGGGACAACCATCGGCCTGTCACAGTCTGCATGGTATCACTGCATGTGTGGAAGAAGAAAAGGCAGTGTCTTTTTTCCCCTCAGACTGTCAACAAGAGGCAAGCCTTTCAGTCCCAGCAGGGAACCCCAGTTTTGTGGGGGATGTGCTTGCAGAGACCTGGGACCTGCCTGGTTCTGCCACCTGCCTCCCTCACAGCCCAGTGGCCCCCTTTTACCTCAGAGCTCTCAGGCAGGTGTAGAAGTGGAAGTGTAGTCCATTAGCTGCCCCCTCCCCAGCAGCACCATCACAGCAACCGGGTGGGCACAGCCCTCTGGCCACATCCACCCTTCCACCCTGCCTCTCCTGCATGCTTTCTGAGCTGCCAGTGGTGCCGAGGAGAAAGCTCCCTCCACCATGAGGCCACAGCTCTCCACCGAGGAGGCCTTCTGGTCCGTTTGTACCAATCTGATCCCAAAAGTCGCTCTGAAATGGAACCATCTTCTGCCAATTTCTGGACAGTTTTACTGTCACCTTCTAAGCTACTGTATGTGTGCAGATATGTATATTTTTGAGGACAGTTTATCTAAATCAGTCTTTCCTTTTTTTATCTTTTTTTCATTTTTTGGTTCTTTTTTTTTTTAGTATCTGAAATGTGGCAACCCTGTTCTGGCTACTGGTAGACCCATAACAAAGAGCCCTGATCAGCTTTGAGATCTGTTTATCTGCATTTTCTTTAGGAAGTAGCATGGAAGTAATTGCACAGTATAAAATGATGGGAAACAGGTCAAGAAAGAGTGGCAGAAGCAAATTTGTGTTTTAAGCCATAGGAGATATCAGTGGGATTATGCCAGGCTGTACACCCGGAAGGAAACAGGAGGACATGATAGAAGAGCAAAATAAATGCAGTCATTCTAGAAATGCTTAATGTAACTTTCTGTTTTAAAGAACTGTTGGTGATTTTAGTGATACAATAAATACAAGGCATTCCTGGAGTACCAAATTGCCCCTCAGCCTGGAATAAGACCGTCAATGGGACAGCTGCTATTCAAGCTCACAATATTCGATCCTCCTTCCCAAAAGACTTTATGAGTAAGACTAATAAGAATGGATTATCAGTCATAAGTGCAAAATTAGAAAGAGGTACTTGTTACTTCCACCTCTGTCATGATCTCAAGAAGATGGGCAAAGTAACAGAGGAGGATGGTTAAGCACTAAGGTGTGAGAAGATCTTCACTACTGTGGAGTGTAAGCCACACTGTTAACCCCCTAGCAGCAGCCACACTGGCAGTGGAGAACACATAAGATGTTGTTGCCATGCAGCAAGGCAATAAATACAGTAAAATCAGTAGATGACAAGTAAAGCAGCCAGCACTGGAAACTGGAGAAGTGTTAGAAGTGGAAAAGGATGTGGACTTTGCAGGAGATTGGAAAAGCAGAGCCTCTAGGAGCTGATGATAGAACCTAAGGAACATAACAAGAAATTCAATAGTGGCAGGAAACATTGGCTGTGTTCATAGTAGTAGGCCAGATATGGTCAGGGTGCAGTCCCAAGTGGTGGCAATATTATTAACAATATTTTTGCTAACATGGTTTTGGCCCGGGTCAGCTTCTGTTCTTCCAGACAGTGTCTGGCCCTCGCTCAGGACCAGACTAAGGTCCCTTCCCAAAAAGCAATCTGAATGTGGCATACCCTGGTTTGAAGGAGGAGTGAGACGAGTGCATGGATGCGAGCTGTGCCATGCTGGCTGGCCTCAGGACCAGTTGCTGATCTGTTCTATTTACTAGTATAGGCATAGTCACTGTTGCCAAGAAAAGAGAGCAAGAGACAAAACAGATATAAGGTTGAGGACTACACAAGAGAAAAGCACACAGGAGATGGGCAAAGAGGGCAATATAAAGAAAAAAAATCCCAAAGTGCAAGTGGGGAAGTGGTGGAAACAAATTAAGTTTTATATTCTACTCCTTTGTCTACATACCGCCTCTTTAGATTTGACTTTTTTAAGACATGGACCAGTTGTCTCTGGTCCATGTTAGGTATGTGCTCAAAGAAAGTGTCATCATTAATACCAAAATACCAGAAAATACTAGCCCCTGACTTGTTGAAATACTTTTGGATTTGTAGTAAATCCAAACCCTACAAGATTATTATCTTTCTCTTCATTCAGTGTGAGAATGAGGAAGAGTGCAGAGACATCAAGAAGACTCACTTAGAACGAGAGAGTTCTTCACGATTAGCTGCCTCTGCTCACAGCATCACAACAGCAAATCACTGCAATATGAATGAAAATAGGTAAGCATTTTCCTTCTTATTTACCACTGAGTCATACAACTAGTTGCAGTTTAATGTGTTATTTTTTTCTTTTAATAGGATTTATTTTTTAATTATCACATTTTATGTTGAAAAATTATGCACTGCATTCTCCTTTCTTCTGGTTTAATGAACAAGTTAGCAGCTCCTGACACATTTATATACTTGCATTTTTGTCCTATTGCACAAAGAAGTTGTGAGTTCAAGTGTGAGGCTCATGGAATGGGTAATTATAGCTAGAGCGGTGCAATGGTCCGAGGCATATTCCCAAACATTGTGTTGTAGGTACCAATTCACATAGGCAATCATGTTATAGCCTTTTCTTTCCTTGGAGTGTTACATTTCAAATTTAAAGTTTGATTGTATAAATACAATTATCTATAAACTCAATGGAAAAGATTGAGAAAAATATTCATAACAATACCTGCAATATTCATTTCCAGAGTATATTTGAGATCCAATATTTTTGAGATTACAGGCAATTCTGTGTAATTAGTAAATATTTTAGGACAAGAAACTCAGACTTTACAATCAAGGAGTTTTTCAAAATATTCAGGGCATGAAACAAATTATTAATATTTAGCATTTGCGGACATGGTTTATGCACACAGAACCTTAGATCAGATCCTCAGAGCAATCATACTGAGTTTCTCTGGAGGCTTTCAACAGTCTGACTTTGGTATGTATCCTTTCAGAGTTCAGATACATGCTGCTTAGTACATGCTGGTCATCATTATTTTTAATAAAATAATTTTTCTGGTAGTATCGGGGTATATCCTGGGATGAAACTGCTAAAATTAGAGAATATTTATACTTACTGTAGTAGGCTTTTCTACTGTACACATCACTGATGAGTTTGAGCAATTCTTGTCATTAATACTAGAAAAAATCATGGAGAAACCTAATATATATAGTGCTTATTCAAAAAATATGCATTCAATTTCTTTGTCCTGACATGTCACATATGTTTCATAAAGTGAAAACAATACACAGGACAGTTTGCTTTATTGTGGGTGATTGCATGCAGACATGCCATTCCTGTTACCACAGTGTCCTATGTTTTACGTCGCATTCATTTTCGCAGAATAGCATGGCTGTCATAGCTTGCTATGTCACAGGGTTTATTCTGTGCTTCCTGGAAGCAGGACAATAATTTGTGTTTTGCTTGACATTATATTCAGTACTCCTGGTAGCAACTGTACATTAAAGAAACAAAGAAGGTCTTAAATATATATTTGCCCCCTAATTCTTCTGTGGTCTGCCCTGCTCCCAAGGTGTTTCTGTGGCTTATGCTGCTGTAGGACATGGTACCAAATGCTAATATTCCCACAGCTGAGGATGGGCTACTGAGGCTGTAGCTAAAGCAGCAATGACGATATGAGGACCTCCTGTCCTTCTTGCAACCAGCAGCTGCTCATGCTGGCACATCCCTCCTCCATTTATGCCACCATAGCTGCCTGTGAAAGCCTCATGTAAATTCACTCAAGAAACTTGTCTGAACCCACAACTCTTTCTTTTTCTTTCGATATTACTATTCAGCTCCCAGCAGAGCCACACAGTTTTATCAGCACAGCTGAGGGCTGGTAGCAAAGAAAGGAGTGTAAAACACCTTTAAACATGAGCATTTTCTACTCTGGAATTACAGTCTGAGGTGCAGACTAAATAAGGCCCTGCTTCATAAGAAAGGCTTCAGGGTCAGGCAGAGATACCCCAAATGTCTTGCACCTGCATCAGACGCCACAATGTGCCCAGTCCCAGCAGATGACAGCTCACTGCAGGCTGTTCCGCATGGCTTCTCAGTTTGACATGCTTGTGCTGCTGCAGTTTGGCTGCTCACAAAACATTTAGGTGGGCCCTACGCAATATGCCGAAGGCCGTGTAGAAGGTTTGCCACACAACTAGAGACTGCAGATACTCCTCACAAGCTCTGGGCTGAGCTTCTGAGGCTTGGGTGCACTTCCAAAGAGCTATGGCTACTCTTGGAGGCTTTAGGGCTGCACTTTGACAGTGGTGTATAAACATGGCTAGCCAAGGCATGGATTTGTGTTTGAAAAGAGGAAAAGAAATGACAGCATCGACCTGCACATTCAAAATAGTCCTAACGATCTTATTTTAATTCAGGGGAGAAGGGCACAATTGTCCACCTTACACACCCTGATTCTTGCTTTCATAAACAGCATTAGTGATTAAAGCAAAACAGTTCACATTGTATTTTAAAGGTACTACATGGTGGGAAACAGGAAAGGTTTTGAATTACAATTCATGGCTTCTTTCACAGCTAGTTTTTAAGGACTTGCCAGATAAATGGACAAATGTATGATAAGAGCATATTTAATTAGCTCTGTTCCCTGAAATTATGTGCAGAAATAAAGTATACTTTGTACCATATTCTTTTTTTGCGATTCCATTAAGTGTATACTGTCTGATACAGTAACTATAAAGAAGTGAGAATTGTCCATAAAAAGTAATAGGCTGAATAAAGGGGAATGTGACAGGGAAAGGTATTGTGTTAAAATAGTCTGTCTGACCTTAATCACAGTTTTAGTCTTAATGCAAACTGTCTCCTTAAAAAAACTTTTACTTTGTGTGTGCTGCTTTAAGATTTTCAGCTAAATATTTTCTTCAAATTAGTGCATCCGAGGTTTATTTATGGGCATATTTTTACAGTCTGTCTGACTTCTCCTCACCCAGAGCTTCTCCCAAATAAATGAAAGCTGAAAATACTGTCTGTGTTATAGCTTCCTTCTTTAGAAGATGGAGCAGCTCACATTTCTCTGCGTCTACTCTTTGCATATGTTTCCTTTTGTCTGCACTACCAGCCGATCTTTCTTTGTCTTCAAAATCTGTATTAGATTAGTATAAACAGTGCTACCAAAGTCTGGGCATTGAACACAAAGACAAGCCAGTCATCTTTAAACACATTTCCTGTTTTAGTTCACATATGGTTTTATTGCCATGGCTTATAAATTGTCACCTGTAATGGTGAAATAGGGCTCCATAACCTGAACTTACACTTCAGAGCCTAATCTTCATCTCCAGCTATCCCTTAAGAAATGGTGTGCAAGTGGCCATTTATCTCTCTATTTTTTTTTTTTCAAGTACTCTGATATAGACTTTATATTAACTCCAGAATTACAATTTGCCTTGAAGGGAAAGAGGAGAAACATGATACAAATTTGTAAATGAACTCTTGGTCCCAATACTGTAAGCTTGTTTCCAGATACCAATAGACTTTATCCTGCCAGCAGATTTTAAATTCAAAGTTTTGGTAATATATAAAACATTTACCTTTCTCAAAGCCAGCTTTGTGACACTCCATTACTGTAATTTCCATTTCCAGCTTGGCAATACCAATAAATAAAAATGAGAAAATGCTTCGGTCACCCGTCTCTCCCCTCTCTGATGCATCAAAACACAAATACTCCAACGATGATTTAACTTCCTCCAGCAGACCTAATGGCAGCAGTCTATTACCTTCCATCTCCTCCAGCAAAAAACATAAGGGAGAAATCCAGTCACAGCCACATCCCGGAGACTTCAATGTAAGTTTATGCTGTTGTTCACAATATAAAGACTAGCTGTATATTTTTCACTTTGTATTGCAGTCTGTGATAGTTTTGCAGATTGTTATGCAAAAAAATTGTAATAATGAATCTTGTATTGTAAGTTCAGTTTTTCTGGTTTGGAGTTAGCAAAGCACAGAAGAAAGGAAAGAGAGAAAGCTGTAAAACAGACAAATAACAAAGGCTACATTACCAAAAGGTAAAAGCTAATGGCCGAAAACGGATTACTTTAGGCCTCAAGATTATTGCTTGGCCATGATGCAAGCCCCCTACATCCAAAAGTGTGGTTCATGAGGCCTCTACTGTATAAGGCCTCTACTCAGCCACTGCCTAGTGATGAGTGTGCCTGTAGACAAGTTCTCCTACATGTCTTACAACCAACTTTCTCAGACACTTCTAATTACTCTTGATACTAGTGAACAGCTCAGCACCAGCCTCACAACTCAGCTCCATCAGATCCCAGGTATTCAGATACTTATCAGAGAGTCTTGCTCACATTAAATATATCCAGACCACTTTTCCAGATAAGGCCATATTACTACAATGTGTGGTAGCACTGCCTCCAGAGCAAGGAATGAGAGTAGATGTTGCCCCTGTTTATGCATGAGTACTGTGACTGGGATGCTGGAGTAAAGAGCCTGTTAGCTCTTCTGACAGAGAATTCACATATCCCTCTCTCTCTCACCTCTCAAAATCATACCCTACCCACCAGCCTACACCACACTGCTGGTAGAAGATCAAGAGCAGAATATTATCATGTCCTTGCCTTGAAGCTGTTCTGCTTTGTGTGAAATACCTAGAAGAAGTAATTTGGGTACCATCATATTGATGTCCACTAGTCAAGCTGTTAGGGCACTCTGCTGCTGCTAGAAAGGCCCATGCTCCTCTCCTTGCGACAAAAGCCGTTTATATATTTTGTCCTGTGTCTATTTGTTGTATTTATTATATGATACATAAGAAGCTTCAAAAGCCTAAGTATTAGTGCTTAAGCAACTTTCAGGAAAAGAAACTACCTGACTCGCAGTGTCTTCCAGACACTATTGCTGTAGGGATAACTGGCCCCACAGTATATGTTAAGTATATATATATATATATATATATATATTTAAATATATTTATTTTTTGAGAGTGGAAGGGGAAGTAGTAACTATAACTTTAATTTTGGACACTTTAAAAAAAACAAGTTATCATAAATTGTGTCTCAAGAATATCTCACAGATGCTTTTAGTAATACAAATAAAATTAATTCAAATAAAAAAGCATTTCAACATATCACAGTCTTTTTTTTTTTCATGGATTAAATGTAAATTTTTAAACATTTTAACTTCTAAAACATAAGTTTAGGGATTTATAAACCATTCAGAATTATAATGATATGATTCTTCACTGGGCATCTTGAAAACAATTTAAATTCTTTCACAGGCAAATGTGCTGGAAATCAAAAGTAAAAGGTGATTGCTTTATGATCCACACCCTTAGCAAATGCGTTTCACTGAGATTTTCTGCATAGCCTAGCAATGCACCATTTGGTCAACATTTTAACAACCTTTGCAATAAAATTCTTATGTATCTGGTTATTCATCTGAAAACTTTAGCCTGCAGAACTGATCTGGATGTGCTATATAGAAGACTCGTGAACTATGAATGTTAAAGTTAGCTTTGTTTTATCCCATCTTCCCATCTGGCACCTAACTGGCATGCCCAAGAGGTCCTTTAAATTTCTGTAATTCCACATGCCAGGGAGTGACTTTCATCCGGTTTAGTTTTTTGTCCATTTCCCTATTGCATTTCTGTCTGTCAGCTGATGAAGAAAGAACCGGCAGTGGTTATCAACAAAAGACAACCTAGGGCCCTCTGCTTTGCACTGTACCACAGTAGCCCACACAGCAGGTCACTTAGTGGGATGAAAAGCTCGTGAGGCCACGTGAAGAACAGGGCTGCAGCTGAGGGAATGCCTGAGACCCTGCCAAAAGACATGTGCTTCTGCTGTGGCACAGAGCAGTGATCTTTCAAGCTGGTCAGGGACCCTGAAAGCAACCTGGACCTTGGGCTACAAATCCATACCCCTCAGGCAGAACAGCAGTGCATCGTGAAACAAGTCAAACAAGTGAGCCTTGCTCTCCCGAGGCAGTTTGGAATGTCAGTTTGGAAGCTGAAGACTAGAGATATAACTTGATCTTCTAAATAACCACAACAGATCTATTAGTTCATAATTTCACTTACTGTGTTTCAGAGTGTTTTGATAGTTACTAATAATTCTGCTCAATTTCTTCTCTATATCACATTGAAACTCAAGCCCTTTACAAAGTGCTCTGAGCAATATCTGTGAATTTGTGGCTATCAGTGACAGGACAGTTGTACATACTCCCTGCTGAAATAGTAGGAAAACTAACTGCCAATTTACAAGACAATGCAAAGACTCTCTGTTGTTTATTAGTTGCTTTTTTGGAGTTAGTAGCCAATTCCTCAATGTCTTTTTTGCTGTTTGTTGTCTAGAAAGCAGTTCACATCAATTCAGAAAATGTTCTTCTCTGCAATAAGCCACAGTCCCAAACAGAGCCTTGGTCACCTCTGTCCAGCACACCCAGGGACTGCAGAAGGACAAAGCTTATCTTTGATGATATGTAAGTACAGATGTCTTTAAAATAAAGAAAACAATGTCATTTCTTGCATTTAAAGAGAGAAAAATACAATTTGTCCAACAGGAACTGGGACATGGCCAGTATTATAGTAATACTCTACAGAGAAATGAATGAGACATACTATATAAACTCTTTAATTTTTCCTCTACTACATCCTTCACACATCCCCTGCTCTCCTCCTCTGAAAATAATTTAAGCTGGTAACTGTCTTTCTCTTCTCTTTGGTAAATTAAAATTGCTGGTTTGTTTCCCAAGGTCATTTAGGATGTGGTATTATTTAGATAAGGTATAAAGGTGAAAGTGAAGGTTGAAATCCTAGTAGGTAGAAAATCCAGATTCTTTTTGTCTGGTAATGTTTTAGCCTGAAAATACGGATTTTTTTTCTAGCTAGTGTAGAACTAGTTCTGTTCAAGCCACGTCTCAGACTGCCTGGAGCTCTATAAGCTATGTGACCTTGGCGCACCTTTCATACTCCCAGACTTTCACCCACAACATCTCTAACTCTTTTATACCAAAGGAAAACCTGGGATAACAGCCTTGTTTTCTCAGGAACTGCTCTCTACCAGAACGGGGATATAATAATAATAATGATAATAATGATAGTAATGATGATGATGATGATGATGATGATAATAATAATAATAATAATAATAATAATAATAATAATAATAATAATAATAATAATAATAATAAATGTTTGTTTACACTACCTGGTCTCAGGGACAACTTGAGGCACAGCAGCTTCTCATAAAGAGAATCCAGGTTTGTTACTATAAGGTATAAATAATTCCCGTAGACTTCAAAAGGATATAACCGTTTCATATGTCAAGAAAAGAAGGCTGGTGAGATTAATTTCTGTGTGCATTCATGGCAGTCATAAGGAGATGTAAACTGAATAAATGTAATCCATTTTTCTGCCCCTTTTGGAGAAAACTCTCCCTTGTGTATATATCCTCATTTTCCCTCCTTCTCCACCTCCCTCCATGTTTTTAACTCTTCCAGTGCTTTTATTCAGCAATCTCCACTGAGGAAATTTGAAACTGTTTAGAAGTACTGCCTAACTCTTCATACCTCTTAAAATACTTGATCATCTATAACTTACTTACAACTGTTCAGTTTTTCTGCAGTTTAAACATGTACATACAAGGCAGAAAGGTATCAGTGTGCCTGATAAAAGTCAAAATTGTAGGTTGTGCTCATCTGTTTGGATTAGAAAAAAACACAAGCTACAACAGAACTATTGTATCTTCATCTGATTTTTTCTCTCAAGATGTTAACACAAACCATGGGGACTGGTTTGTTTCATTTGTTTTTTCCCTTAGAATACTGACATAGGAAAACTGCTTTTTTCACCATCTCTATCATCTGAGAGGCTTTTATCACTTGCTTTCTCCATTAGTGATACACGTGATTTCTCTGCCAGGCATCTTCAATAAAACTGTTTCACCTTTACAGAGAGAGATACAATTAAACTGTTTGTGTATAGTGCCTTCCATGTGGAATGTCCCCAAGCAACTTGTGGCCCATTAAAAAAAAACAATCTAAAAAGATAGATAAGATAAAACACAGAAGAAAATATGTCTTAATTTGCCCTTAAAAAACAAAAATGGTTAAATGCCTTTTGTGCTAACTAGAGGAGGGAGATTTTTATGTACTACAACTGTTATCCACAACCTGTATCTAGGAAACACCACCAGAATACCAGCTATACTAGACCTTGATTCTGAAATGACTGTGCAGAGAAGTCACTGAAATGTAGATTAGACTGGTTGCAAACGTTAAATGTCAACAAATTTGACTCACATGTTAGAAGGATCAAATTAAACATGGCAGCCAGTGTCTTTCAAATTCATATAGTACCACAGCAGAGGATATGAAGAAATGCAATACAGTAGGCCTAAAATTATGTAGTAATCCTAATGGCAGTATTTGTCCAAAATGATGCCTATGAAGTATTTCATCTCATAATCCATGAAGTTCTGAATTACTGTAATCCAGACATGGCTTTAAAGTCTTCATTTTAATCAGACTCTATAGTTTTTAAGAGACTAAATCCCTTATATTTGATTTGAAATGACAACTAATTTTTTTGACCAATCAGTGTCTCTTTGCTTTATTCTCAATTTATTTTCTCCAGATCATTGACAACAGCTGTCACTACCAATAAATTGGAACACAAGTAGGTCAATAAAAAGTATATCTTGCTTGGCAGAGTACTGTATACACATACATCGCAATACAAAAGTAAATATAGCTAACAGTCTTCAAAAGGCAGGCAAAATCCTACTTCCCCTGGTTTGCCATTGTTTACTGCCTGCTCTAAATATGCTTCAAGGTACCCAGCATGCCCCATGTATAAGTGACATCAATGCTGTTTCCAGTATTAATTCTTAACAAGATTTCCTGGATTTTTGGCCATTTCTGACTCTATGAAGAGAACATTTTCAATGCTACATAATAATGCTTCAAGCCAAATTCAGTCCTGCTGTAATTTTACTGAATGATAGAATTCCCAATAACTGCATTTAGGAACAAAGTCTGTTGTCCTTGAAGTGATAAGCACAGACATGCTGTGAGTGCCCAAAGGCACAGTCCCACACCCTCCTCAAAATACTGTGTGTGTGGTATAAAAAAAGAGCAGAGCATACTCAGCTTCTGTTTTCCTTATGGCTAAATCAGAACATGCTCCTCAGGATTATTTTCTCATTTGCATTGTGGGTTACCCTTTCAAACTTGGGGTGTGGTTTTTCTGCACTTACATTTATTTTCCTTTTTTTTTCTGGCCTTATAGGAGCAAGATAATACATCTTCAGCTTTTTCTTTTTTTTTTTTTTTAATTCATATTTTGTTGAATGTTTGTTCCACCTTTCTGGATTTAGCTGCTACATGCACAAACCAACTTTACATTGTCCAAGGGACATATCCTGCTGTGAGATAGCATTCCTGTGTTTGTCAGCCAGTAAAAGATATACCCAGAAAATATTCAGCCTGTAAAGGTGTTATGCATAGAGCTCATAAAGAGCTCAAAATATAACTTTCTGGAGTATCAATTTGCTCTGGCTTGTACCCCAAGTCTCTCATTTTCAGTTTCCTCTTCCTTGTTCTTCTGCCTCAGAGTGGAAAGAAAAAGATGCCCTTGGATTGTGACTCCCATACAACATCTGGAAGCCATCTCACTTTGCATTGCTCAAAATGCCTCAAGGACTCCCAGTCTTCTGAAGTATTTAGAGAGACTTTTGCAGTGCTGAGCACATCCTCAGGAGCACTGTTAAGGAATAGAGCTTGGCTCCTCTTTCTTCTCATCAGCAATCTATAAAACCACTGGTCAGATAGACCAACATCTACTATCATAAGTTCCTCACAAATTCCTGTGCTTACTTTGGACTGCTCTGAGTTTCTTGGCTTTGAGGGATTTCAAGATTTCATCTGACTATCCCATTCTTCCTCTTCTTCCCTCCTTACTTGTGGCACTGAATTTTCTCATGTGTACACTGCCCATGAGAAAATAACATTTAACTACTAGACAGCAGACACTGCCTCCCATGATTAGATAATTAAGCTGCTTGTTCTCTGCAAGACCACCTAGCTCCTTTCGTTTTAGGGATGCTTTGTAAGAGTTTGATCTGATGGGAAATAGATGCTTAATCAGCTCTAGCAGGAGATTGTCACAGGGTAAAGAATTTATAGCCACTATTTCCTGTCATCAAAGAAAACCCAGAGCTGTGGACCTCGTGTGAACTTACAAGCTACACCCATGCCCCCCCTCTGTTCCTATGGCAAGTGGTCCGGCACTGCTTATGTTTATGCGATTAAACTGTCTTCACGCCCCAAAACAAAGAGCACTCACTGCCTCTGAGAACAGTGCCTACCCTCTGCTGTCCCCTAGCTGTGCCTAGGCATTGTCTGGAACCAAGCTCAAAACTATGTCAGGGAGAGTATTAGCTATTAAACAGCACAGATGATCAAATGATAGAGCTGGTTTCCTTGTCCTGCTTATTTCACTTGCACAGACATAGCCAAGGAATGGTTTTGTTGACAGACTCAGATCTGAAATAGCCTCTGATAAGTTTGGAACACAGGCAAAAGGATTTATTTGCGTCAATTGATTTTGATGTGCCTTTTTCTTACTGTACGGATTCACTAGGAAATATCTTTAGTCCACAATGAATCATAATAGTGAGCAGGACAATCTAATCAGGCTCAACAAACCCTCCTCCAGGTCTCAGAAGCAGAGCTGAATCTCTCAGGAGAGGACAGTCTTTCCCACCAGTCTCTCCCAGTCCTTCATCATCTCTGCAACAGATGAGCAATGAGCAGATGCCTATGGCAGGCAACGAGCACCCTCCAAACCCTGCAGCTCTTTGACTAGTCTAGGTCTCGTACTGAATATGAAGAAATCTTGTCTAACCTCCCATGGTGATTACCATTCTGCCACACCTCTGGTTCTTGACATAGCTTGTTTTCCTCAGGTTTGGAGGCAAACATTGGTTTCTCCTTGAAGAGCTAAAAGTCCATCCCAGTGTAACTCAGGGTTTGTCTTCTTGTGATGGATCACAGAGTGATGTGGGTTTTCATCACCCTCAATGCCAGGATTCACAGGTGTGGTGTGTAAGAGATATGCTAATGCCTCTATTTGCAGCTTAATTCCTAAGTCAGCTTTGCTGTCCCTGTGGCAGTGGAAAATGTCTTAACACATGTTAGAAGAATGTGCTTCAAGTCAATTTTCCACAATGTAATTACCCAGCAGTTTCCCTTTGGACTAGAAGTCACACTGTAATGGCCCTAGGGTGCAAAGGCTGTGATCCCCCCAAGGAAACCTGGGAAATTTCCTCATCGTTCCTTCAACATACAAAGGATATTTTCATCTTCCAATGATAACGAATCACACTAGCAAATGATCGTAACCACTTTAGCCTAGAGAATCACAGATACACTGTTCAAACTCATTTTTAGCTTGGGTGTAGCCTGTTCATCTTAAGAAC